CCACATAACTTTGGCCAGTATACTTTACTTGTATTAGATTGTTGGATTGCAGCCAACAAAACACTGGCAACATCCCAAATAGTGGAAGAAAATGACAGAAGATTGATTCATTTGTAATTATCTTTCATCCAGTTTTTCTTTCCAGATATTTAAAGATAAAAAGACATAATGAATTATTCACAGTGTGTGCACAGAATGACCTGAATCTAGGAAGTAACATAACTGTACATTCAGCGAAGTCAAATCAAAGTGTGCTCACATGAACTCACAATACTCATCCTGCAATTAAGTTGCTAATGTTGGCTTACCCCTTTGGGTACATATTCACACCATCTGAACCTGCCTTTTTTTTACAGAGAGCCCCTTCTGTACTCCCTCTCCACATCAGTGCTATCAATACTATGCTATCAATATCAGTCATGGCAAACACACATGTGGACCGGAGTATGTAATTATGTTATGTAAACTACCTTGTAAAATCTATTATTGGGTTTACTTATAGACCTGATGCATCAGAGAAACAAGTGTGCAGCCATCTATAGAATTTTGTCTTTGAACTTCCGTTTTTGCGGTTGCTCTATAGCAGAAGAATGTAAGAATCTTCAATAGCAGAAGAATAGTCAGATTCAAGTTCAAAACACCTTTTACGTCATATGAACATGCATATGTTTATGTCTTACGAACTGGGCAGTGGAGGTCAGCTTTCTTTTTTTAGATGTGTCATCAAGGCAAAAACGACAACTCAAGGTTGCTCCAGTGACATTATCATAGTGGCTTTCTCTGGTTCTGAACATTGCAACCAGGCACTGCAAATGTGCTGAAGTTTTGCTTGGAAAACATGCAATGGATTGCAACATTTAGGGATTCATTCTGATTAATAAAAATAAGTGCATGTAATCATATCTACTAAAAGTGGAAAAAATACAATGATAAAATTATAGATAAAAATGTTAGGATAGGACTCCTTTAAAGACCCTGGCCCAGAATGGATGGATTGGAGAAACTGTACTTGGTGTTTAACAGGCATGTCTATTCTTTGTTGGCAGTGCTCGGTATCCTGTGGAGGAGGTGTTCAGCGCAGACTGGTCAAATGTGTCAACACTAAGGCCGAGCTCGAGGATGAAAATGAGCATGTGGATTGTGATCATGAACCTCAACCAAAGAACACAAAGAAGTGTAACATTCATGACTGTGACAGCGCCCCCTCTGGTGAGTGGAGCTTTGTGAGCTAGAGACAGTGAATACATCGAACACTAAATAAAAACATACACTTCATCTTTGAGCTGCCATAGCCAAAAGGGATTTTTTTCTTCTTCTATGGCTTGGACAAATCTGTACACTTAGTATGCTTTGGTAAATATGGTGTGCATTATTGTGAACTGCAATTACCTGGCAGCATGAATACTAATGGCATTTGTAGGTTTAAAGAAATTGCCTTCCATATATAAGCAATCATACTGAGAGAGGCAGAAAAATCCACTTTTCTTTGTGTTTGCTATTGAAAGCTCCATAAAGTGCAGCACCTTTAGATTGGTTTGGCTTGATTATTGCTGGTTGCTGAGGACTGTGCCATTTACGGACCCCTGACTCCTCCTCCTCTGCTGCTCTTTTGTCATGGATCACTGGAGATAGAAGACACCTATGTGCGCAGTCCAACCAGACGGTGATTATTCTGATATATAAAGAGAACAACACATAGGTCTTTCATCTGAAACAAGAGTTTCACATGAACCAGAGTTGCAGTCTCAGGCAAATAAGATGAAAAAATTGTAGCTTAAAGAATCTTAGCTCTAAAGTCAACATTAAAAAATGACATTTACAACCCATTCTACCTATGTAACGAGACATGTTTCCAGTTGAAACAGAATTTTCAAAGAGAATTGACTTTAAACCTTCAAGCGTCGAGTTTTTAGTCAAATTTACAAGAATCTTATATTATTGAAATATTGTCCTTAACTTGAAGTTCACAGATAGCAGTTATCACCAAATTGGACAATTTCAAGCAAGAAAATGTCCCCTCTTAACCTTTACTCCTTCATATTCCTGTGAAGATTTCCAGTCAGAAACACAGCTCACCTGGCTTACAGCCTTTAATTACCATCATCATCATCACTTTGAAATGTACCGCCAGGCCTGTCATGTGTTAGTCCTAAGAAAATTGCTTTAGCTCAGTGTGCTAATTAAAATGTTATTCTTGATGAGCGGTTTGGTGGTGCATGTGTTTAATTCCTTACTTTTTAAAATCGAGTTTTTAGTCAAATTTACAAGAATCTTATATTATTGAAATATTGTCCTTAACTTGAAGTTCACAGATAGCAGTTATCACCAAATTGGACAATTTCAAGCAAGAAAATGTCCCCTCTTAACCTTTACTCCTTCATATTCCTGTGAAGATTTCCAGTCAGAAACACAGCTCACCTGGCTTACAGCCTTTAATTACCATCATCATCATCACTTTGAAATGTACCGCCAGGCCTGTCATGTGTTAGTCCTGAGAAAATTGCTTTAGCTCAGTGTGCTAATTAAAATGTTATTCTTGATGAGCGGTTTGGTGGTGCATGTGTTTAATTCCTTGCTTTTTAAAAGAAATGATCCAAGAAATCCACCCACGTTTGATTAGTTTTGGGGAAATGTTTGCTTATAATTATTTCAATCCAGTGGAGGTCACTAAAGGAGACTTCATAGTTATTAGCTGGAGTGCAATGATTTTATTTCTAAAAAATAATTATGCCACCATGTTATGTGCAAACTTTTTCTAGGTGAAAAACCTCAACTTTTGATATATTATTCATTTTAATCCATACAGACTTTTCAGAGCTTCAGATGATGTTCCGTGCCAGACTTTGAATTTTGTCATTCATGTGAAGAATTTCATAATTTGTTCAGTTTCTAGGCAGTAACCTTTTCTAAGATGCACTTCTTTAGACTCTTCAAGTACAAACTGTAGTATTTAGGGCAAGACTAATGGGCCTTGTTTTCATCTGGTATTAAGATTAATTTTCAGTGATCCGATCATTGAAAATAAGAACAGAAGTAGTCAACTGAGGTGCATACTGGTATTAAAATAAGTTTAAAGTTCCTCAAGACACTCTTTTGTCACAATCTACATCACTTCCGTGGTAGCACTGAGTGTGGTGCACAAATACTATCGACTAAACAAACTCACGTTAGGCAGATTATTAGCAATTGGGAAAGGAAGCAAATGAAAAGGATAAAGCAGCTGCAATTTCAGCTGTAGCCTGTATGTTTTGGTACAACACAGCAAAGTTTGAATCACTTGTTTTTGGTGCATTTTCTAACAAAACGTCCACAATGATTACGTATTAGGTTAGTGGGCGGCGGTTGGCGGTCTTTTGTGGCTGTCCAAATGCATTCGACCACATGAGTGACAACACTGCATAAGCAAACAGATAAAAAAAAAATTCCGACTACCTCTGGAAGTGGTCAAAAGTGAATAAGCTCAAAACATTTTAGACCCATTTACAGTTACCTACAGTTAGCGTTGTCTACTTGTGATCGGATTGAGTAAAATACATCTTATACTAGGTGTAAACAGAACCTAGGTGTCTACATGACCTCAGGGAACCACATCTTACTGTCTTTCACAGCCAGGTGTATTATTCCACCTATCACAAAGACAGATAGTTGTGTTCTTGACTAACATATTTTAGGCATGAAGCTACTTTATTTAACAAGATTTATATGCTTATAACCCTGTGTTGCTGTACATCTTAAAGCATTGTGTTAAAGGGGTCATAGGATGCTACATGCACTTTTACAAGTTGTTTGAACTGAAATGTGTGTTGGCAGTGTGTGTACACAAGCACCCTATAATGATAAAAATCCACCCAGTGTTTTTTTTAATCATTTTAAATGTTTTCCCCTTTCTCAAATCGAGCCGATATCACCTTGTAGCAGGTGTAAATTATTTCTGCACCCACCCACTGTCCGTTTACTAATGGTCTGAGGAATTCTCACACAAAAAAAAGGCAAAAACTGTCTAAAATTGTCTATGTGAGGCTGCCTCAACTTTATTCTCATTATTCAATCATTTGGTTAGTTGACACTGGGTTAGATCCAAGCTCCCAGCTTTTCACAGTCAATTCTTGACATCAACAGTATTCAGGATCTCCTTTATTAGCTGCACTTTGTTTCAGTTTGTTTGTTGGTGGTGGATTGTGACTTAATCAGCTACTTGATCAACTGCCAAAAACCTGTTTCTTTTGGCTCAGATTGTCATAGTGTCAGCTGGAGGGTCTCACAGTCTTTTGTGATACTAAGGGGAAGTTTCACTGATTTTCTATCCTGGGTGCCTTCTGATTAAGAATTGCTTTCTCATTGTGGACTTCCCCACTCTAGATTTATAAATCATGGCATCCCAAAGGGCTATTAATAATATTGCTTTTTTTCCTTTTGCCTCAGATAATAACCTCTTTTGGCAAGGCATGCTGTAGCTCAGAGCCCCTTCACTCCTGATAGTGTTTTGGATGTTGAGAGAGGTCTTGCATAACTGTTTGGAATGAATTATTTTGGCATTGTCCGAATAGATCACAAGTGGATTTTCATGCCATTTCAACTAAAGCCAGCTGTTACCTACTTGCACAGTTTAATGCTGTTGTATAACAAGTTAACCCAGTGTTGCTGTACATCTTAAAGCATTGTGTTAAAGGGGTCATAGGCAAACTATGTTACAGACTTTTCATTAAAACCCTAAAGAATCATATCAACTTGTGGAAAATGGGCATCCTATGACCCCTTTAACATACTGTATGTAGTAAGCAGTATGCAAAACACATGTAAATGTACAGTATTTCCCAGAGGTCTTAAAGGCTTAATTGAGTTTTCAGATATGTTTGAATGAAGTCCCCTGTTTTCTCATATTTTTTTTCCCACAACTTCTCAGATAAAAATATAATAAATGAGACAATTGTTGACATACAGTGTGAGTATACAGCTCTAAAATTAATGTGGATAACATGGTTTAGATTGTTTGTTCCTGGAAGAATTTTAAAGGGAAAGTTTGAGTTCGTGCTGAAATTTATGATGTTTGGTTTCTGTTAAATCTCATTGCATACAGTGGGGAAAATAAGTGAGACATTAAAGAGATCTTGTTTGTGATTTTGTTTTTCTCGATCCTATAGTTTGTTCTGTCTATATACAAGCATTTTAACACCCAAAATTACATCAGTTTTAAGGTGATAGGACAAAAAACAGCCAGACAAAAAAAGAAAAGAAAAAAAAATAGTTTCAGCTGCAGAGCAAATTATTCATGTTTTGATGGAAGATTGCAAAGGCATGCATATTTTCCTGTGGAATAACCTGCTATATGTAATAACATTGAGGAACTTGTATTTAAGTAAATAAACCAATTCATATTTAATGTTAAAGGTTAGGGAAATCCCTAACTGAAAAAAATGTGTTTTTGTGGGATTTAGTTGCCTTGAGAACAGCCTTAAGTCTTCTGAGTTTTCGTTGCCAACTGGATGCTCATTTACTTTGAGTACTGATTGAGTGACCAAAAATAAACACAAACTACATTTCCTGTATCTCTCAGGCTCCTCAACATTATTTAAAACCACTCTTACAGGATGTTGGGGAGATGGGGTGAGTTCAGACCGGATTAATGAGTCCTCTGCCAGCCGAAGGCCACTGTGTGTCACGGGATTTGGGCTGCTTCTCTGTGTGGAATAAATAATGTAAATACAGTGTGTGTGTGTGTGTGTGTGTGTGTGTGTGTGTGTGTGTGTGTGTGTGTGTGTGTGTGTGTGTGTTTGTGTGTGTTTGTGTGTGATTGAATGTGCAAGTCTTGCATTATCTCACACACTGTGCTTTTCAATGATTGAGTTGAGGTTAATGTTCATTCATGCTTAAACTTAAGAACACTCTGATTATATCTGAAAAAATAATTAAAAGCCATAATTAAAATAGTATATACTTGAAAATATTGGACAGCATGATTGTATGGTACAGTTAAGCTTTCATCTATGCAGAGACCCTCGGAGTAAGAGGGAGAAGATGAATACTTTTATTCAGCAAAGACACAACAAATCATTTAAAACTGACAGTAAAAGACATATATAAAGATTCTCAAATAAATTCTGTTGAACTTTCTGTTGATCCTGAAAAAAAATAAAAGTATCATGGTTTTTACAATAATTTTAAACAGTACAACTGGATTTATAGTATGTGTAGCCTATATAAAGAATATG